CAGAGCCATCACACACTCACGCCACACCATGCCGTGCCGTGCGACATGTGGAGCAAATGCTGCCCAAAAATAAATAGCAGCTGTAAATTCGAGCCATCGAAGCACTGAGGGACATTCCGAAGAGGAGTCCGAAAGAGTTCACTGGTTGGGTGTTGCCCGATGATTGGAGGGCCCTAACCGCTGGCCAAATACCAGATCCAGTCCCCCCACATATTGCGTTTCAAATTGGTCATCGACTGTAATAAAAACAAGACGGAACCGAACAACAAAAAAAGGAATGAGCGGGTCGAGTTTTTATGGCGTTAACAAATTGCTTTTTATAACACAATTTTGGATGGGTATCGGACAATAATACTCAACCATTTGTTTCTGACTACCAAGAGATTTGACGGGACTGCTATTATATTTTTTTTTAATCCTAAATAACTTTAAATAAAAGAAGATCAGACTGGCTCAATTTACGAGTGTTTGCCTTGGGCCATTCCAAAATTAAATGCAATTTTAACAGATTAGCTTTAGGACAGCTCAAGGAAGGATTAATTTCCGGTTTCATTATAATTATAGAATTATAGGACAACTAGTCCCCTAGTAACACATTTTTTTTATCACATATCCCAGTGATTTTCCCGTTGTTGGAACTTTCTGAAGCATTTCTGAATGTATTTGAACGCATTCTTAAAATGAAAGCTGCGCTTTTCAGCATCTCCGGAAACAAGTTTTATAAAAATACAAAAATAAATTTGTCGTGCAGCGATGCAAAAAGGAAAAGCTGCCTTGAATTGCACTACGAATCAGTCTAGCGTGCTATCAATTACTGTGGCAAGTGTTGCACGTGCCACAGACACCGACACCCACACCCACACCCAACACCAGCACCAGCACCAAGCCCCCCGAGCGAAAGCTTAGTCCTTGGACCCTCGATTCAGTCGGGACAGGGACATGCAGCCTGCTCATCCCATTGTGCTGCTTGGCATTTGGTTCCAGTTTTTTTTTTTGTATTTCTTTTCTAATTTCTTGTCGCACTTTGGCCGTTGTCTTGACTCCTTGCATTGCAACGTTTTGTAAGTGGCATGAACATCGTTGCACTTTCTTGACAATTTGTCCGCTCTTTTTCCTCCGTTGCCAGCTTTTTGAGTGCTTTCAATTGTTGCACAATTTTTTCATTTGTTGCGTGGCCAAGAATGAAAGAGTTGCTTCCCCATTGCCGAGGGAATTTCAATCTAAAATGGGTGGGCATGGGATGGGAATGGGAATATCCGATGACACTTCCGCTTAAATTTTAATAATTTGTTTGCCCTGTTCTTGAACATTCGAATGCCAATTAAATCCACATTATGCCGCAATGCAATTCCTGAACACTGCAATTTATGCATTCAATTAACCACAAATGAGCACACAATTCTCACATATTCACGCACTTGCAGCAGCCCACACAATGTCATAACGCAAGCAGCCACAAAACTAAACAAACTTCAAATTTTACGATTGTATCGAATTTGAGCCTAGAGCAAATTGCCATCTAAATTTATGCAATATGCCGTAAGTCTAAATATCTAAATAGTATTGAAGGACTTAGCCCTGAGGTCTTGCAATAAGCTTAATCCCCTATGCAATTGTTGCTTTTGTTCAAATATCGAATCGAGTTAGAGAGGTCGAATTATTAATGCTCTGAGGGTACAGTTTGGAAATGATGATTCCTAACTTAACTCCTACTGAAATACCTTTAAAAACGAACTATTTTATAATTATATATTTATGTTCCCAAATTGTAAGATAATTTTCAGCAGAGTGCGGGTCTTTTGTTATATTTCTTCTCTACCTAAAGGCAACTGCAAACCTCCTCACACATAGTCAGTGCTCTCTGTTCGCATCTGATAAAATGATCATTTCATTTTCATATTAAATACCAAAATGTAATAAGCATTAAATTTGCTGCAATTTGTTGCAGCTAGGAGCAGCATACGTACGAGAGCTGACAGGAAGTTGCAATTACAATGTAATTACAACCCACAGTTGGAGCACGCTTTAAATTTTGTATGTCCTGGGCAAATGTCTAAATGCGAGAACGCCCCCGAAAAGGATTATGCCAAAGGACTATCCAAGCGTCTGAGCATCTCTGAGTGTGCGTGCTTGTGGAGAGGACACGACAGGATGGGACAGGATAGGACAGGAGGGAACGCTCCACTTACGAGTAAGTAGCAGCTTATGACATAAACATACGAGTACGATATGAGCTGGCTCTCGATGTCGGTAATAAAATTACGCTTAAAATGTGGCACGTAATTGTCAGGTCCTCAGTTCCCTCCCTTTGTCTCTCCTTGGCCACACTTGTCGTCTAATTGCCGCAAGTGTCTCTGGCCTTTGTGCTTTAATTAGTATTACGGTTCTAAGTCGGCGCTTTGCTTCTTAAAGCGCACTCAACATGCGCTCAGTAAATACTCGTACAGACCTAAACCAACTCCAGGGCTTGAAAATCCCCTGCGCCCGCTTGTAGATTCTCTGGAGATGTTTGGTAATCAAAAGTTAGTACTGACTGTAAATTAATTTCCTGGCCACGTTATGCAGCAATTGCAGTTTCCAGTCTCAATTACGGGCAAACTTGCTGCAATGCATAAATTTGGAGCACACGCCAGCCACACACACGAGCCGAGGCCAAGAATCAATGATTAATTTTATGTGGTTCGGAGTTCGATATTAGCAGGACGCTGCAGGGCCCCCGTTCCCTGGGAGACTGGGAACGTCGTGGCTGGGGCTGTGTGCACATAACGCAGCCAAGTCAAATGAGTTATTAGCATTCGCTAGATTTTGGTTTGATTAGCAGAATCTATGGCAAAATGTTTGATGTATTACACTAGTCGAAAATCTACTGCTTCAGTTGGTTTCCAATTACAAGCAAGAAAGTTTTGATAAGTAAACTCAAAGCATATTGCAATAACATCATTCGGTAGGTTAAAGGAAGTTCATTCCCTTTCTTTCCTACGTCTTACATAAACCCATAGATAAGACATTGCACTTTGCTGCTCACACACTCCTTTCTGCCATTTCAATTGACAGGAACATGGCTCAAAGAACGCCCAGATCATTAAAAAACAGAATGTGTGACATTGTGTCAGGCATAATAATAAAATTACAATTGAGACTTGGCGACAAACAAACGCGGAAATGTGCAAAATCAGCGCAAAAAGTGTGGTAGGGAGCAGCACGGATTCTGGGGGCGTCCCCGCAAGGAAATGTCAAATCAAATTTATTGACTTTCATTGTTCGGTGTTTGAGGGAGATGATGATGGGTGGAGGTGGGACTACAACTCCAAACTCAGGCAGTCTTCGCGTTCATTGAAATGTGAAAAGCCAATGACAGAGGGGGGCCACGACTCCACGACCAGCAATGTGCACCATTTTTTTTAGTCCTCTGTCGCTCGTTGCTGGCGGCACTCCTCCTTGCGGCACTTGTCGATTTGTCCTGCACTTTTCGTATTTGTGCGCGATTAAAGCGCCGCTTAGCACGTTTGAATGCCTTTTTCCGTCGTCGGGCTATGCAAGCCTGAGACAATCAGCAGCCCTGCCCCCCCACCTCACAGTATTCACCACTCAATGTCTGCTCATCTTTTCCCCCATTCTTCACTGATTTCCAACAACTCTGCACAATGCCTGCCGGCAGTGCTATAAAAATCATATGCTTCCTTTCATTGCAAGGGTTTTGCTTTAGCTTTTTTGCCTCTTCTTCAACAGACTGACTTTGGTCGTCTCGCTTTGTGTCGGGATAAGTTTGACAATTATTTGCATTGTTCACTGAAGTCGTTTGCTCAACATGCACATGAATCGGTAACTACAACATGAGTGGGTCCATAGTTATAGCTCACAGTTGGGGCAAGTCTTTTGTACACTGCTCGAGGGCTGATAGGGGGTAACAAAACACAATTTTTTGTGGTGAAGCAATCACAAGCTTTGTGATATCTTTGGCCAGCCTGATTGGCTGCTATGTTGTGTCCAGCAAGAAGCTGAGATTGGTTCCATTAACTAGGAACAGGACTCAATTAATGGCAGAATTTTCAGCCAAATTTTCAAACCGATAAGTCCCATAGCTAAGCCCAGAGAAAGTTCTACTTAATTATAATTTAAGAATTTGTGCTGAATCAAGAAAACAACAAAATAACTTTAGTCAGCAGTCCCCGCTGCCGGGTTGCAGCTGCAACCAATTTTCCTATCACGGAAATGCAGAACAAATGTTCTCCGGTTGACCCGTAAGCCTGTTGCCTCTGTCGAAAAGGCCTGCTGCCAAAAGCGGAGTTCTTTTTGATAAAATTGTCTCTCTTTTTGTCCTTCTTCTTTGGCGGTTGTCTTTTGCGGCTTCTTCTTAAATGGCCCTTTCCGCTTCCTGTTCCGTTTCGTTTGACTTGTCTGCACGTAAATTTTGTGCCATTTTGCCCGTAACAAAATTTGGGTTGTTCTTTTTCTGAGAACTCAACCCGAGCCGACCTTCTCCGCCGAACCGCCGACTCATTCACGTTGGCGGTAAATTTTAGTACAATGCATATATAATCTTTTTCACTTATCTTTGCATAGTTTCCCTTTGCTGCAGCAAAACTTTTTACGGTCTGAGGTTAAAAGTAGCGTCATACATTTCCAGCAGTCCGCCCAGCCCGACGCCCTCAGCGCACTCCAGATTCGCGTGCACGTTGACAGCCATATAATGAATGAAAAGTTGGCAGGGAGTTGGCTGCAAGAGGCTGCGGCGGCTTCCACTGCTACTGTGAAAGGTGCAAAGGCATCGCAATTTTTGCTGAATGGCTGGGTTTAGTTTTTCCACTTGTCGACAATCTTGTGACAGATTTATGGGTTAATTATTGTGAATGCTGCGATGGGAGTGAGTGGAGCACGGAAACATGCAAGGGATACAACAGAGTAGAATGAAATCCTATTTCTGAGATTATAGCACTGAGAAAGTTGTTACATTTTGGATCAGATCTGTTCACGTTATATAAAAAATATTCAAGCCCGAAATGGATAACAAGCAATTATTGTTCGAGACGCCTCCAACCGATGATTTGTCTGAGGATAAGCTGGACTCTGCCGTTGACAGCGATGATTACGATATTTTCATGGGCATCTATGAGTTGAGCGTTACTCTTGGACATTATCATCCTAATATAAAGCAGATAATGCGTGTCTTGGCCAAAAGCCAAACCCCAAACAATGATTCTATGGAAGTGGCTGTGCTCAATGAAATTCGTCTGCGCTTCGAGGATCTGCAGGAGGGAAATGATGCAGAGGAGAAGCCTCTACACGGAGCTGAGCAGGAAATCTTTATGTATCTCTATAAGGAACTTTCCAACTTGCAGCCGGACGAACGCGAGCGTGTGAATTACCTCAAACTATCCCTCGAGCTATTCGATGAAGAGCGAAGAAAAGATTTGGGTACTGAGGAGACGTTAAGTAATCGGCTAAGATCCATTGATCGTTTACATCTGAACATTGAAAAGATTGTGGCACGTATCGATGCGTCCACGGATGAGGCATCCAATGTTGATTCGCTTGCTGCTTTTGCACTTAATATTTCTGATGGCAGGGATGACTCTCCTGTGGATATTCCTGTAGGTACACGCCTGACTGTTGCTCCGGAGGGCCCAAAAGGTATGCCTGCAGATGATCCAAACGGTGTTTCTGTCCTGGATGATGCTGATATTACTTTTAATGCTGCAAGAGCGGTTTCTGTGCCTGTTCCTGTGAATGATATTCAGGCTGTATCCAAAGCTACAGATAATCCGAGGGAAATTCTAGCAGCCCCTGCGGATACTTCTGCAGGTGTTTTGAATGTTTCCAGGGCAGACGCTGTGACTTTGCACTCGAATGTGTCTTTCAATGAGCAATCAAACGTCGCGCAAGTAAATGTTCTCGATCATTTGGAGTTGGAGCATCTGAAACATACTCAACTTTTAATATCGGAATTCATACAAAATATTACAGTGATGGTTAAAGGAGTGAAAGGCGCCAACTCAGATCCGAACCAGAAAAATACCCCAGAGACGTTTGAAGATTTATCTTTTACGGACGATGATCTGCTAGATAATTCCTTGTCCAAATTGACAGTGCAAAAGCGCAAAGCAAGAGCTACTGCAATTCCACTCAGACAGAAATCGAACGATAAAGTCGAAGAACTCATTGATTGTTCGAAGATCTTGGACCAGCAAACTTCCGTAGGAGTCCCTTCGAAGTGGCAACATCAGCGACACATCTTTGCCGCCCCGCGTGATATTTTCCAACTCTTCAAGTCAAATCCCGCCTATCAATGGCCTCCTAATGATCTGAATGCTCCCGATTTCTTTGAACAATTGGATCAGTTCTATGAGGTAACAGCACATAAGGATAATGCACCCACAACACAAGTCAATGTGTCCTCGGTACAGTCACGTCTAAAGTCACTCCTGCGCAGTATAAAGAAAGACCTTCCCAAGAACATCCGTTACTCAGATTGGTTGATTAGAGTGGGAAAATGTCAACTCACACAATTGCTGACCAGTGAAGAGAGAGAGGCCTACGATACATGGCGCTGGCAGCTGAGAGATAGTGGTGGCCATGAGCTGACGGACGAAGATCGCTATCGGGATGCACTCAAGGGCTTGATGGGCTCTGAGTCGGCACATCTTAAATGGTCAGCCTTGAATTCCCGACTCCTGCTTCGGTATCCGCATCATCAACACAGCATCAGTGATTCCTATTTGCTGTTGGCCCTGGGCCATGTCGGCTACTTGTATCGATCGTTGAGCCTAAAGATGCAAGAGCTGGCCCAACGGGGGGCCGAAGGTGACCAAGCTCTGGCAGAATATATTCATGGGGATCTTTCGTCATTCCATGAATTCCATAATGAACAGTCGGCTCGTCATGGAAGTTTATTTGGGCTGTTTTTGCGCACTCGTGGCTTCCAGCAGAGGTTCCAGTATCTCCTGAATCTGCTTCTCCATGTGAAGAGCGGAAAGTCTCCTGTCGTAACGCTTTACAATCAGTTGGGTCAAAGAGTCGATAGGGAAGAGGAAACACTTCAAAAGTGGTTGATGATCGCAAGCAATGAACTTCTTAGCAAGCTCCACAGCTGGCTGCTAAAGGGTCAACTTCCGGCATCGCCCTGTGAAGAGTTTTTCATTTTTCAAAATTTGGCTTTAACCACAGACAAATTTTGGCAGGAACGTTTTCAGCTGTCAGAGCCCTTCTCATTGTTTTTCGATAGTCGACTGACAACGCTGCTGATCAGCATAGGTAGAAGCCATGTGTACTCCAAAGTATATCTGTTTACGGAAATGGAAACTCTCGTTTCGGCGAGAGAGCTACATAACAGACTGGTCGAAGCTTTTCAGCAGTTATATCAGAATGGAGACCAGGAGCCACTTTATCAACTCGTTTCCGAACTGCACCTGGATGTGTGCGGTAAGGTTATCAGATGTCTTTACAATTATGAACCAACTCCATTGGACCTATTCCAGAACCTACACAAATACTTGCTGCTGACAGATGTGCAGTTTGTGAGGCAGCTCATAGAATTACTTGAACCAGTACTGGAAGGACCAGCAAGTACCTATGATTCCGAGCTATTGAACTATATGATAAGCAATATGTTACCCAATCGAATTCCCGATCTGTATGTGGGTGAAGCCATTTCGGAGGGCTCAAAATGTTGGTCTCGTTTCGAGCTGCACTGGAAGCTACCCATCCACTGGATGGCACTGCTGGGGGAGAGTCTCCTGCAGTATGAGTCGATCTTTCCGGGCCTATGGAAGTTCCATCATGCCTACTATGTACTATGCCAAAGGACTATGCGACAAGACTGGCACTTTCGTCAACTTAACCAACTGGACAATAAGTGCTTGGTGCATGTGCAGTGTCACTTTGATAAGCTCATTGACATCCTGTTGGATCTAATGGATGGTTTAAAAATCTATCTTCTACAGGACGTGTTGGACGTGGCCTGCGCTAAGTTCAAGCTGACTCTTCAGCAGGTCAAGAGCATTGAAGAAATGCTTGATGCCAACAGAATCTATTTGGAAGCCGTTAAGCTCGGTTCATTTCAAATGAAAACTTGTAAAAGGTCCAGCGATTACTTGGAAAAAGTCTACAGTCTCATCCTTGACTTGGAACTGAGGCAACAAAAGTTTCACAGACTCTTTCAAATTTATCTGAACTATGACAGTGATGAGTCTTATGTTGGTTCCATTTATTCGAATAGTTTGAATGATTTTCGTTTGTCCTGTCAGAAAACTTGCGATTCTCTCAATGAACTAGAGGAAGAAATATATGCGGCGATCTCTGATTTTCTGTTAAGCTTGCATGTGAGCGGATATCCATCGTTTAGGTCGTTGGCCAGAAAATTGGATAGTCAGGGACTCTATAAGAACCAAATGGAAGTATTGCGCTTTGTAGACACGTTTGCGTTCCAAAGAATGTTGAAAAGTTGTAAAACATAATCGAATTTCTTAGATTTGTATCTTAGTTCTCGAATTATTAATTTTTTAATTGCTTAATATTTTCATTTAAATAAATGTGTTTGATAGACTCGAAAATTGCTTCTTTGGGCTTAGCTGCTGACTGACATGGAACACGAAAGACTCTCCGTAGCCAGCTTCAATCAGATTCATTTCCTGCTCGCTCAAGTTATAATTCATTAACAAAAAAAAGTGAAGAACAAAGAACCTTTTTCTGACGCTTTGTCTCTTGATAAATTGGATTTTAATTGAAAATTAAGAATCGACTTAGCAATGTTTGCATGGTGCATCAGCAGCAGCAGCAGCTGGAACTTCCTTTTGTTATGCAAATTCTCTTTATTTTGTGGTCTAGTGTGAAAAGGAAGAGTTCCCCTGACGACTCTGAATTCGTTTAAATGAAAGTAAATAAAGGAAAATTTACTTTTTGGCTTAAGCTTCGGGCAGAAGCAATTCAGGGCACTCGTCGGCACTGTGCATCTCTCTGTGGAGCTCAACAAAAGTTGAGAGCTTGTCTTGGTGTCAATTGTAATTACTCGACGCAAATTAAATCAAATTTCGCTCTGCTCCGTTCACATTTTTCACATTTTTATTAACAACTTGTGCCAACACTTTTATAATGGCTCTCATCTGCATAACTTAATTTTCTGAGAATTTGCTTGGTAATGCTCGTATTTGATTGTATCAGCGCTCAAATCTTTGCCAAAGAAATGCACAATGGGGACTGTGGGACCACTCAGGAAGGGGTGAGTGTGTGTGTGTCAGAGTCCTGGTCTCCTTTGTTATCTGACAAACACAGCTGGCGAAGGCATCTCTGCGTTTTAGCCATCCACATACGAGAACGTATTCGTATCACAGCGAGTGTGCTGGATGAATTATAAAACACAACAGGCTTCACAAAAGAATGTCAGGAAGATAATTGAACCCTGGATGGAGGCATTTAATAAACTTGATTGGTAGGACACGACGGAGTTGACAGGCTTTTGGCAGGAGTACTTCTCGACTGGGTGGACTGATTAGGTTAATTAACTTCAGAACAAATTGTTTTTTTTTCTGATTATTTCGTTTGATAAACGAGTAACTTTTTGCAGATAGAATTATATAGACTTTTTCATTATAATTATAAATATTGTTTAGGTATATGGTGGCTGGTTAACTAAAAATCTATTTCTATGCAGTTAGATTTATGTTTAGGGCCAGGGATTTAGGGCTTATTTGCCAGACTCCGACTTCTGTAGGTTTTTATTTATTACTTTTGTAGACATGAAAGCGCTGTGAAATTTATGACAATCCAATTGACGACATTATCTTTGGCTTTTCAGCAGAATTAAACTATAAAATTTATTATTATGCCCGTTGACATACTTGAACTGTTCTAGGCAATAAATTCCTATACCATTTCTCCACCGTGGCCGCCTGCCGCCTGCCGCCTGCCCCTCCACACATTGTTATTGACAATTTGTTGTCAGTTTTTCTCGCCCATACTGGTACACCCAAATCAATTTATGTGGCTGTTACTGGGACTCTGACCGCGACTGGAGGAGCTGGAGCTGGGCCTTTATGAAATACTTCTCATTATGGCAACGGGTGGTGGGGGGGGGATGGCCGCAATGGCTGAAACATATTTGAACTATTTTCATTTCAATTGCAAACGGTTTGGCGCAGAGAAATCAATTGAATTGCCATTTCACATATGAAATGGTCATTTGTCAATGAACAACAATTGGAGAGGGCGTGGCCGCAGCTGGTTTGGCTGGTGGTGCGGCGGTTGGCCGATGGTTTGGGTGATGCTTGGGCCGATGGTTATGGGTTGACTGCCGCACAGTTGTGCGGTCACTCAAAATGGCCGCATAAATATGTCCTTCTCCTCCTGGCCACAGTGTGGAAGATCGCCTGCTGTTGCTGCTGCTGCTGCTGTTGTTGCCGCTGTTCTTGCTCGCCCTCCTCCCTAGTTGGCTAAATTGTTGGTCGTTATTAAATTTCCGCTGCGTTGAGTTCTCATTTCCGTTTCGATGGCCAATGCAGCTGGCCATCGTTGAATGCTCAACGGATGTTGCCATAGATACACACACATACGTACATACATACGTCTATCTTTGGTTATGGCTATGTAATCAAAAGGGTTGGACACATGGTGCGTATGCGTTATATTCGATTATTATTGTATTTTGTTAAAAGCCTAAACAATAATCCCCACTCCACCCATGCAAGTATTTGCCGCAATCAAAAATCTATTGTACTGCTGAACTTGTTGTTCTTATTCCGTTTTGGAAATAGTTTTTTGTTCGGCTTTTTAGCCAAATTGAAACTAATTGAAATATGTGAGAGAGTGGGACGAATGGGGAGCCAAAACTTTTGCAATAAATTTCAATAAAACAGAATTTTTCCCTTTATTTCGGTTGTAGTTTTGTTATTGCCTTCTCCTGGCCGTGCGCGCTGGAATTACGTATACGCCAACGTGCAGTGACCTCATTTATCGTTTCGTCAGCATAACTTTACATTATGTTTTGGTTATTGTTTTGTTTCCAAATTCAATTATTTAATGTAATTCTTTGACCCCTGACAAGTGGTTACATTTGATTTGTGTTCTTTTGCAGTTGGAGGAAAACTTTCCCATCAAACACAACATTTTCTTATACATGTATATATATGTGTTCACCCGTTTAATTAGACGGAAAATACTTTAACAGTTCTTCGCCCCCAAAGGGCCATTAAATATTATGGGTTTTAATGGAAATATACTGCAGAGCCCCATCAAATGGACGCCCCTCTTTCAGGACTTGGTTTTTATTGTTAGGCTGCCTTTTGTGGCTGCTGCTCCTTTGGCCAAATAAAAAAATAAATAAATAACAAAATTATTCAAAATTATGGACCCGCCTCCTTGGCTTCTCTCTCTTTTTCTCTCTCTATGTTCCAGCTTAACCCTTGCCTAGTGCTGCGTTGCTCAATGTTATATTTTAGCCAAGTTTTTATTAAACCGCCGCCTGGCAGCGGCTTACAGAGTGAAATCTTAGGAAATGCATTAAAAAGGCGCTAAGTAAATATTAAAATTCCAGTCGCAAAGGACAGGGAACAGGCTTAACCCATTTTATTGTTATTATTTCCACGACTAAACAAAGCAAGTTAATGGTTTCAGCCGGACAATGTGGTTATGGCTTTGGTTCGGGCTCTGGCAACGTCTCCGTGTCCGGCTGTTTATTCATGCCATGCGCTAATGGACAGCGCGAAATTGTGCCTCGAATCTCCCTCAGACAATGCGAGTATTATATATTACGGAGTGAGGACGAGGACTGGGAACAAAGGATATAATATTTATTCATTTAGTTATTGATTTATGGCAGGGCATTTAAATCAAAATCAGGCAAGAATGCTCAACATTTTATCAATTTGATGTGCCTATTTATTATGATGTTTGTACTTTTCACCGCTTAGGTTTCGGCCCCTTCTCCCACTCGCCTTTTGTATCTTTCTCTGGTGAAATTTATGCGTTCACTGACCACAAAGGATTCATCTTCATTTCATCTGCCCATTTCTTCCAGTGCTCCTACCCGCCCGCAGCTTGATTAGTTGATGACACTTTGTGCGAGCCATGAATGTGTCTATGTGTAGTTACCCAATCCAGAAGCATATCCACATCCACATCCACATCCGCCTTCACATCTCGGCAGTGGCTATATGTCTCGCTCCGTGGTGCTTGTGGCTAATTTGATAAATATGCGCGCGTTTATTCAAATCAATCAGCGTCAGTGGAGCCATGGGGCTGGGGGTGGCAGAGCCTGCATGGGGAAGACAAGTCATTGGCATCGTCTCCACTTCACTTGCCATCGCTTCGGATTATCCTCACTCCCACTCGCAGTGTGCATCTTGCGGCATATAAATTTCAGCTGCTTAAAGGCAAACACAGAGACTTACATAGATACACACACACACAAAACACACACATGTGTATCTCTGTGGAGATTTCATTAATGTGCGGTCGACTATAATGAGGCTGGTTAAGCCATAGGAGGTTTTTAGGATAACTAAAACTAGCTGAAATCTATGACGTGTGGTTCTTAAATTAGTTGTGTTTATCCGACCCGATATTACACATCCTTTTTAGGATCTATTTTCGTAGCGAATGTCCCACCTATCTGAAATGATTTGGTTTTTTGCTTTATTGACTTTCGAAAGTATTTTATCTGGGGATAATTATAGTTTAGATAGTTAAAGTCATACCCACTAACAAGATATCTGCTTTTACTTATTCGGCTCGCACAGATAATAAATGAACTCGAAACCATTTTGTGAGAAACCCTTTATCATCTCTTGTATCTCAGGGGCTTCTCGCCCCATAACTTATGCTCTTCCATTAACCGGGCTTATCAAAAGTTTCCCCTTTCAGCTGCCCCACAAAACTTACTTGTTCCCAGCCCAGCCCCTGCCAGCTTCAGGTAAATGAAGTGCACACATTTACAACTCAATTTGAAGGGGCTGCTGCAGATTGACGCATATGCTTTAGTACAATTTTTGCTGTTCACCACAATAAATCTCAATTGAAAGTGGCAAAAGTAACTTGACTCTTAAATTACATAACTTTGAAGTGTGCGTGGGGCAATCAGCGCATAATGCTTCTAATGAGTGCACAAAAGCTTAGCGGCCATAATTTCTGCTACTATATAAGATCAGATTACTGCGAAGTGGAGGGCAGCAAGAAAACAATCAGCATAAAGTCTGGTCTGTAAGTATAACCCCGAATGCAATCAAAAATGCGAAATAAACCTAACAAATCCCCTGTAAAGTTTGTTGTTTTTCTCCCTGAAAAGTTCTAGCACCTGTCAGCGGTGTGAATTTGTTCTAAATGTTTGGTTGTCACACGGTTGGCTTCTTCTCACATTCACATCCCTACCCTACGCTGAAGGAGTGCAAGGCAAACGTCTTGGTGCACGCTGCGTAAACGTAATAAATTTAACCATTGCAAGTGGAAAACTGTCCGCAAAACTGTA